ACACACACACACACACACACACACACACTGCCCTTGGCTATCCGATGGGAGCCACTCATTCTTGGTATTCAGGGGGATGAAGGCGCTGACAGGAGCCTGGCCAGACTTGCGGGAGGTTTTGGTGGGAAGGGACCTTTAGATGTCCCCTGGCCCAGCCCCTGCAGTGAACAGGGATACCGGCACCACACCAGCTTGCTCAGGGCCCCGTCCAGCCTGGCACTGAGCATTTCCAGGGATGGAGCACCCAAGCACCCACTGCCTTTCCAGGCAGCCCATGCCAGTACATCACTGTCCTAAGAAGAGACTCCTCTGCAGACACCACAGTGCAGCCATGGTGCCAGTCTCTCTGGAGTTCATTCCGAGGCATGGAATGGGGCTGGCCCAGTTCCTCACCCCAAACTGGGCCATGTCCCCCAGCCAGTGCCTTTCCTGATGTGGCCAGGCACCACCCCAGCACAGCTAGGTACCCCTCGGCGCGGCAGCTTGCAGGAAAACTCCCTTTATCAAGGGAATTGAGCACCACAAATTGGACTCCCAAGTCGATTCTGCCTTCTGCCAGGCCTCTTCCCACCACCTAATTTGATGACAAACACGTTCCTCTCCTCCTCCCACCCTTTAATCTAATGAAGAGCACCGTGTCCAAGGCACAGGGAAATAAACCCTGATGAGGCCGATTTTTATAGGTAAACAGCCTGATTTCTCTGGCCTGTGGCCTCACTCCTCACACCCCTAACAGCCAGCACCTCCCCCTACTGCCTCACCATCCCTGCCCTGCAATTTGGCATTAGTCTTTATAAAAATCACTTGCTTATAGAATGTATTTTGTACATTTCATTAGAGTTTGAGCAGCTGCCTTGCCTCTGGCTTTACTGTGCCCAAGCAGAGAGGAAAACAAGGCAGAGGCTAGTGGGGTTGCAAGGGGCCCTTATGCCCAGGGGCATGTGGGGGTCCTGCAGACCAGGGCTGGCCCCAGATGGGTGCCCAGACAGGGGTACAGTGCTGGGCTCCGTGGCAGCTGAATAGCAGCCTGCCTGGACACAGGACACAGCTCTGGACATGCCAAGGGCTTCGAGCCAGGGCAGCCCCACTGGCCTGTCAGGCTCCCCGAACACACCACAGGGCCCATCCTGCCAGAAGAGACAAAGGAGAGGGGCCATGACAGTGACAGCCAGCACTCCCTGTCCCCTACTGCCTGCAGCTGCTGGGGACTGGGGTGGGAGGCAATAGAAGCTGAGTTCCTGTCTTGCTGGGCCAGAACCAAGCAGCAGAAATGTTTTGGTGATGGGAGGTAAACAGGGTCGTGGTAAGTGTCAAGATGCAGTCAAGCAGAAATTCTAGCAATGCTAAGTATAGCCTAAATGCCATTAAAGCAGGAGAGGGAAGAGGATACGAGGGTATTAATAGTCTCAACATTTAAATCCTGAGTGCAGCGACAGCTCCCAGGATGCTGGCTGCCCGGAGCACAGCCCGAGCCCAAGGGCCATGTGCCACACGCTGCACCTGCCCACAGGGAAATCAACAGCCCCAGCAAGTGCAAGGCCAAGGCCCCTTTGTGGAAAATAAACACAGCTCTTGCTCTCTGCCCCTTGTCCACAACCCAGAGCTGGGCCAGGCTGCAGCACCACACCAAGGCAGCCCCAAAAGGACACCAGAGTTTATTTACAACACTCCTCAAGTGACATACCACAGAAAGGAAAGGGTACAGTACAACTCAAGGACTCAACAAAGGAAAGGTACTGGCAGCCCCAAGTCCCTGCAGCCCTCCCCACAGCCACTGGTTCTGGGCAGGCCTGACAGCCCCATCCCCGCCAGCTCGCAGCACAGGCGGGCAGGGGCTGCCATCCCTCCCCACGGAGCAGCCCAGCAGCTCAGGTGGGCGAAGCTGACACAGTCACTCTCTCTGGCTCAGGCAAGGATGCAGGAACCATCCACGCAGTGCCAGTTGTGAGTGGCTTACGGAAGCGCCCCAGGCGTGGTTCTACCACCTACAGCCACCCAGGCTGAGCTGGTGGCCAGGTCTCTTCCAAGGGTGCGTATCTGGAAAACGGTGTTAGTACAAAACTGCAGCGTTGCCAGGGCAAGGAGCTCCTGAGCCTTGCTCCGTGCAGCCCCACAGTTGCCCCCATGGCCACTGTCTCCTGTGGGGCTGCAGGTGGCCCAGGTCCCTCAGAGCACCTCTCAGGAGACTGGGGCTGGTGCTGACACTCCACCTCTCCATCTGTAGGGAGAGTAACAGCTTCCCCTCCAGCACCACAGGGACCAGGCCTGATCAAAGCAGGTAGAAAACGTGGCCTCAGATGCAGCCCACGTGCTCTGGCAGCAAGCAGCCCAGGCAGCAACTTGCTGCCACAGTGGAACTGGGAGGAGCCTGGCTGTGGTCTGCCCAGCCCTCAGCTGCACAGCAGGGCTGGACAGGGGTTGCCCCTGTGTCTGGAGGCACAAGAACAGACTTGACTGTGCCTCCTGCCCTCAGCCAGCCCCAGCAGCTGTGGACCTTCAGTGCACAGGGGAAAGCGAGACCCCGCGCTGCCCAATCCAACAGCGCATCTGCCTCAGCCCTGCCCAGCCTAGCACAGAGGGCAGCGACAGGAGGGGAACAGGGGATTGGGTTGCTCAGCATGAAGTGGGGAAGGACAGTTTGAGGCCAGAGAAAGCTATGAGTGGGGTGCTGGAATCCTTTGCAACAGGCTCTGGGCAGTCTCGGTGAGGCCCTAAGCATCCTCGACCTCAGGCAGCTTCAGAGCCAGCCCCAAAGCTGACTGGCTCTCCTGCGGGCTTTTAGGAGGACAGACCAGAGGAGGAAATCAACACAAAATCTCAAATTAAATCTGCTTGAGGACCTCAGGAGAGCAGCTGATCCGCAGGGAGGACCCACTTTAAGACTTCTTTGCATCCTGTGTGTTCCTCCTCTTCAGATCACCCAGGTCGACCGGTTTAAACGCTGCAAGGCAGACAGGAAAGACTTTGGGGGCAGAGGCAGCACAGCCCCCGCCGGCGCTCGCAACCCCCGGGCCGGCAGAGCCGGCGCGGTGCCCCTGTCCCCCGCACCTTTCAGGCTGGGGTTCGGCATCTTCTCCACGTACTCCTCGACCAGGCCGCGCTCGGAGCCCATCTGGCTGCGCAGATCGCGCTCCACGCACTGCCAGGCTGCAGGGACAGGGACAGGGGCCGCTCGCCTCGGTCGCCCCGAGCCTCCCGCGCCCCTCACCCAGCGCCACCGCCCCGCTCACCCTCATAGATGAAGCGCACGTTCTCCTCGTGAGCCGGCGTGAAGATCTCGCTGCCAGCGCCGGGGGAGCGCGGGCCGCCGCTCCGCTTTCCGTTGTACACCACCCGGGACACGGGGGAGCTGCAAGCGGAGCGCGGGGGGGAACTGAGCCAGGCCCGGGGCCGCGCTGGGCCCGGGGCCGGGCGGGGCTCACCTGGCCATGGCGGAGGCGGCGCTCGGCGGGGCTCGGCGGGGCCGGAGGGGCTCGGTGGGGCTGCGGGAGGAAGGCGAGGCGCGAGGCCGAGCCAGGCCGCGCGGCGCCCCCCGCCCGTCGCCGGGCAACGCGCGCCCCTCACCCGGACCCTCCCGCCTGCGCAGAGGCACGGACGGAAGCGCCGCAGCGCGCAGGCGCAACCCCGCCCTCTCCGGCGGCGAGCGCAGCCCCGCGCAGGCGCTGCTGCGCACGGTGCTGGCCACGCCCTCTCCCGGGGCCCGGCCGTGAGCGGAGGCGGTAAGCGGAGGCCGTAACCGAGATGCTTTATTGGAAAAGTACAAAGTGGTTCCCGATTCGCAGTACCGAGCGCCGCTGCCCGGCCGGCGCCCGGGCCCAGCCCGGGCGCAGCCCCGGCCCTCGAGCAGGCTCAGGCAGGCGCAGCCCCCCGGCCCGGCCCCGAGACTGTCGGGCCGTGTCCGGCTCAGCGCAGCGCGGTGGCTCCCAAGAGCTGCACCAGGTCCTCGTATTCGGGGTCGATGAGGTCCGAGGGTTTCTCCCCGTCATCAGTGGTGGCTTCCAGGCTGGCCCCGAGGGACAGGAGGTACCTGCAGGATGCGGAGCTGAGCCGCCGGGCCGGGCGGCCCCGGGCCCGCAGCCTCCATCACCGCGAGTGGCACGGCCCGAGAAGTCCCAGGCGGAGCGCAGGGACCAGGCACCCCCCGAAGCAGCCTCGGAGACTCTGCTCCAGCCCGGGGCTCTCGGTTCGCAGGCTTTGCAGCGCTGGCAGGCCTTCACAGCCCCTACCTGGCTATGTCAGCGTAGCCGTCGCTGCAGGCCATGTGTAGGGGCGTCCACCCGTTCTCATCTCTCTGGTGGATGTCAGCACCGTATTTCACCAGGAGCTTGACACAGTCCAGGTTTCCCGTCAGCACGGCTTCATGGAGGGCTGCCATGCCTGAAGGGACAGGAGGTGTTAGCCCTGGCCCAGGCAAGAGCTCTCCATGCTGAATTCACAAGTTGTGCACAGCTCAGGAAAGGGGTGCAGGAACTCTCCTCATGGAGAGGACTGTGGGGAAACAAAACAGAAAGCCAGAGGAGCTGCTGTGGGTTCCTGCTGCCCTTCTGCAGCATAAATACCCTGCCTGGGATGGTGCAGCACCCATTGCCCCGGCTAGGCAGGGCAGAGGGAGGGAGAAGGAAGGAATTGCCCCTTAGAGCAGCTGCTCTGAGTCCTGGACAGGACTCGGAGACATGAGAAATGTCTCTGGCGTCCTGCTCTGAGTTTCAGAAGCTCCTTACTAACGAAGAATCGTTATGGACAGAAAGAAGCCCAGGGTCGTTTGAGCCTCTGACTCCACGGCCTTGTGAGAGCAGAAGCTGAAGCCAAGCACAAGAAAAACGACAAATCTGGGCTCTGCATCAGCCTGTGCAGATCAAGGCATTCCATAAACAGTTGCTGATGAGGCAAGCAGAACAGGAAGCTTTCCCCATGAGTCCCCAGAGTCAGACATACAACAGGGAGCAGTGCCTGTGAGAAACAGGCGGAGCCAGGAACAAGTTCAGATCCCACAGTCTGGGGAAAAGGCAGGAGCCCCACTGTCCTGCCCAGAGCTCACAGACTTGCCTGTGCTTGCTGCTGCTCCTTCAGGTCCCACCACGCTGTAGGTACTGAATTGTGCCTTACAGGGAGCCAGAAACCAAGCTCCCCCTTTCCACAGCATGCACTGACTGTGCTGTTGAGGGGAGATGTTGGGGCATTGGCCTAGAGCTCTTGGGCCCTGCTGAGCACTGCTCCTTGCTAGGGAGAGGCCTGTTTTCCTCCAGTCCTGAAGGTGGCCCACTGCCCAGCTCCGGTGTCCCTCACAGCCCCACCAAGCTGTGCCGCTGCTCTACCCCAGCTCTGCCAACCAGCAGCACTCACCAGAAGGGTAGATGGTGTCCAGTGTCACCTTCCTGGCTCGTATGAACCTGCCCACCTGCTCCAGGTCCCCCTGCTTGATGTGGTCCTGAAAGACGACGTCGTTCGGGAAGCGCACAGTGCGCGAGGCCCTCAGCCGCGGCGTGTAGCGGCCGTATCGCGGCACTGACAAGGGGCAATAGTCCCTCATGCTGACAGGAGCCTTCAGGCACAGCGGCATGGGGGGGTTGCTCAGCACTCGGCCCCGGCCCCTCACTGCACTGCTGTCTCCTCTTCTGCCTGTCAGGGGCCCTCCTCACTACAGATCTGTGCCGGCCCTGCACTGCTGCGCTCCTGCTGTGCCCCTGCCTGTGTCAGTGTCCCCTTGCTGCAGGGAAGTGGCAGCCACCCTGCTCTTCTGCACTTCTGAGTCACATGCAGGAGGTGGCACCTGGCACTTGCAGCTCACCTTGGCCCAGGACTGATGATTCTCTGGGAGCGCCACATTATAAAGCCTTCCCTGGGCTATTTTGGGGACATGCAGCTCATGCTATTTGCCATGATGCTTCGTAATCGAGCCGCCCAGGCTGCAGCCTCCCACTTTTGGGCAGAAGTTGGTGTCTCATCTTACCACCCACCTGTTGATGTGCCTATCCAAGGGGTCAAATCTACTCTTGCAGGGGTAGCCTGGAAGCAATTTCCCAACATCAAGCCCTTCTGGGGGAAGGGGCATGGGCACAACCAGCAACACAGGAACCGGCCGCTCGTGTCCCAGCTGGCAAGTGCAGTGTGGATGTGCCAGGGCTGTGGTCGCAAACACATGCAGAGCTGTCACCCTCCTGTAGCTGCAGGGGACAACTTGAAAGGAGCAGGAGGAGCTGTGCTGCCCAGCACACAGCCCAGCACGGGAGCACAACCTGAGTCAGATGTCCCCTATACCCTTGTGAGGACAGAGGTGCTGCTGGTGATCCTGAGACAGGTGCAGAACCAGATGCCTGCACTGCTGGACCCTGATGCTTCCTGTCCTACTTGAGACAGGGAAGCAGCTGCTGCTGCTGAGGGCAGGGTAGTGCAAGCAGCTGTAGAGGAACAGCAGAAGAATAGCACCACCACCAGACAACTCCTGCCTCTGATACTCTCCAGTTACACTGTCACGACCCAAAACAGAACCATCTGCCACAGAGGAATCATTCAGGTCCATCAAGGGTTTAAAGCAACCACTGTTTTTCTCCCATCAAAGTTTGGGCCTGTCAGACACTCAAGCATTTTGTGCTCTGTCATGTTGATAGGGATTGTACAGGCAGGTGTGTTGAAAAAATCCCTATGCTGCTTTACGAGTCAGGGATGTCACTGCCCCCTCCTGCTGCAGACCAGACCCCAGCTCAAGCAGCACAGCCAGCCACACACCTTGGAACTCCTGCATTTGTTTATCTGCTGGCAAATGCATCGATCTCTGGGCCAAGCATCTGCTTCTGGTTAGATGAGCCTGAACACGGCACAGGGCATCCAAGCTCAGTGCTGGGAACAGAACACTTCCAGCCTTTCTTGGAACAGCAATTAGGCATGAACATCAGATGGCTAAGCTCCTGCTCTGCCACAGAGAGGCTTGGGCTAGGAGAGGCACCTCCTCTAAGCTGAGTATAGTGGGTGTCTGCCCAGGAACAGAGGAGAACCACTGCACTGCTTGGTCACAGTTCAGCTGGCTGTACAAAATGGACCTATTTGAGTCAAATTCTAGACACCATCTTTCAGTGGAACTTTACTAGTGAATTTACTAGTGAGATTCCCTTCTTCCCCATGCCAAAAGACAAGGCAGCTGTCACCAACCAGCCCAGCCACCAGCATGGCTGGGTTTGTTAGGGTGCAGCAGTGGCCACTGCCCACCTTCAGTCATGTGAGGGCACAGCCCTGGAGGGAGATGTCTTCAGAGATCCTCGCCATGTAACTGCAGGTACAGGTCTCACACACACCTGGCTGCTGTTCTATCAGGGACAATCCTTCCTGATCCCTTGGTGAGTGGGTGCCTGCTCAGCCTCAGCCCTGGTGCTGCTGTGCCCAAAGCATGGAACACCACATCAGGACTCTGCTGGGGCTCAGCTCCCAGGGCCCAGCAGGAGAAAGCTGGAGACTGAGATAGGTGTTGTCCAGCACCCCTGTGCCACTGATCCAGCACACATACCACTCGCTGAGAGGTGCAGAGGTGCCCCCAGTTGTCCTCTAGCCTCACTGTGCCCTCCCTGTGACATTTATAGCATATTTTCTAACCAAAATACCTTCAGCAGCAAGCAGCAGGTTTGGAAATAGCAGCGTGGCTCACGGGGTCATGTGAGCCTGACTAGAAGAGCCACAGCAGCCCTGGCGTGCCCTGACTCCCTGCTCAGCCCAGCCAGCTGGCTGAGGGGCTGCACGCTCTCAGAGCCAAACCACGGCCCGCTCACGCCCAGCAGAGCACCTGCAGAGCCCATGGAATCTGGGCAGGACACCAGCATTGGAATGTTCTTCTCCTTTACAAATTACATGGAGAAAGTGTCACGCACCCCATTGCAGATTCCCTTGAGAATCACCCTATAAACTCTGATCTCCCCCCCTTCAAGGGTAGGGTCAAATATTCTACACTCTGATAAAGACAAAGAGACATAATAGTATTAAAATCTCAACTTTATTTGGCCATCAAATTCGGTACCAATGTTATCGTAGCAGAATGCTAAGAACCAACCCGATGTAGCTCAGGCCTGTGAGGCACTCCCTCAGTCACATTCCCAAACCCCAGTAATTGCAAATGTCCTGTTTGATCTGTTTATCAAGCCCTCCCCCACCACCCACCTGCTGGGTCAACCCACTCAAAATAATTCATGGAAAGGGATTGCAACTCTTGTCTTTGATCAAAAGGATGTCAACACAGCTGGTGAGCCAGCAGCCACCTCCACCCTCAGAGCCTGCCACAGCCAGTGCACACAGTATTCCACCCCTCCAGGAGTTTGGAATAGTCGTCTCCAAGAGTCTTAAAGGAGAAGGGAAAGGAAACATCCAGCTAGCATGAAGAGAAGCACCTTCACATACACCTTTCCCCAGGAAGCCATCAGCCCTCTGCTCCTACATATACTGAAGGCCAGCCCCAGGGAAGAACAGCTGACACTATTAAGGACCCTGCCAGGTGCAGAAATCAATTAAGGGCTTTAGTTTTGAAAGAAAAAGAGAAAAAAAGCTGTCTTGGAAGATGTTAGTGGCAAAGGTCCAGATTGTCAGGCCACTGAACTCCTGGTACCACCTCACAACCTCCTGCTGCCCAGAAGAACAGAGTTCTTCAGACAAAAGCTGTGTACAAAAAAGTACATCACAGCAGATAAAAGAGCCCAGCTGGCTGGGCTGGCTCCCTAGTGACAGTTCCCTTTTCAAAAGCCAAAAGAAAGAAAAGGTAAGTGTACAGACAAGTGAGGGTAAAGCGTTACTTTAGAAGCCAATCCCTGGATTTCCAGTCATTTACCTTCTGCTTTAAATCTTAATGGGTTTCTGACTCACTGGGCTGCATCACAGCAGCCAATTTAGTGTCTGATTTTTTGGGTGACGTAGATCAGTCTTCTCTTTACAATTCATCCTTTTGGAGTTTCTGCTCATCCTCATCACCTTCCTCAAGTTCTGTTTCTTCATCCATCTCCAGGTCCTCCAGATCCTGTGGAAGTTACAGACAGCTCCTGGTTTCTGGCACATGAGGCAGATCTAGAACCAAGCACTGAGCAGCAGCCCTCACCTGGTCACTGCTCTCTACTGCCATGCTAACAAAACATCCAGAGACTTCCATCAAGAGCTTCAGGTTCAGGACACTAAGGATTAGGAACCCCTGGATGCTGGTACCTGTACATCTGTAATAGCCTCCCCACACCCTCCCCCACCCCAGCAGATGAGAGCTTCCAAGCAGACAGACAGGTAGGTGGCATTAATCACACAGCCTTGTTCCAAGCTGAGTGCCCCAGCACTGCTACTGTACACCCACAGGGTGCTCCAGAAAAGGAACCCATTGCAGGCCCACAGCCGGCCAAGCTGCACCTGAACAGATCACTCTGATCGCACTTTGTTCACCAGCAGTACGCTCTCCTGATAGGTAACAAAACAGGATCTTATTTAGGACTGAGGATTCACCCACAGAACCACATCTGACCCATGTTCTGAAGGCCCAGAGTACTTCATTCACATTACTCACATCATCGGCTGCTGCCCCATCCTGACCTCCGCTTTCCAGGAATTTTTTGAAGCCTTCTAGTGTCCTTTCCCCATTATAGTCTATTACCTACACAGGGAAAACATAAGGATGCTGGTTATGGGCACTACAGACCCACACCCCTGGAGAGGAGGATTCTCTTTCTGAGCAACAGTGAACATGCCAAGCAAAAGGGAATTTAAAAATTCACCTTCACCCATATGAGACGAAGGAAAACAGCTCAGCCACTAGACTTCAGAGATCACTGCGAGGAAAGAATAGCCTGCAGATGAGCACACTGTCCTCTATGCTCCCTCTTTTCCCCATTCCCACTTCCCACTGCCCCCCAAACTCTTTCCTACAGCCCAGACCCCACAGAGGGTCTCGGGTGTCCTGTAGACTTGCTGTGTTCCATCCCAACAGAATGCAGATCCCATCCCATAGGTCTTGTCCAACTCGAGCAAGCAGCTGAGCATTCCCGTGCTCCCTGGCTACGCAGCCACACCAGCCCAGCTGCCCGCTTACATTTCTGCCAGAGCCTGCAGGGAAGAACTTGAGTGTGGGGAAGCTGTGGATTTTCACTGCCTCCACTTCATTAGCCGTCGAGTCCATCTTGGCAATGACAATGTTCTCATGGTCCCTGTAGATTTCTCCCAGCTTGTCCCAGATTGGGGCCAGCTGCTTGCAGTGACCACACCATGGGGCATCTGTTAATTAAAAGAGATAGAGTTGCACCAACAATCTAACGGGGTACCACTCCTCCCCAACCAGGCAGTTCTCACACATCTTTGCAACCAAGGCACTGCTATTAGGGGCCCAATCTGCAAAAGGCTTTTCCCCTAATCCTGGTCACGCAGTGTTTTGGCAATCCTTTCACACCAGTTACTTGGAATCAACTGTAGAAAGATACTCACAGAACTCCACAAAGACATTCTTATTCTCATCAAAAGCAACTTCTTCAAAGTTTTTCCCAACCAGAACTTTGACAGGGTGCTTGTCCCAGTCTTCAGGAAGATCCTGACTCATTAGGTGGGGCTGGAATTAAAAGTGAAATCCAGATAAACAGTTTGCTACGTGGCTGCTTGGACTGAACATGCAATCACATATCCTGGAAAACCCATGTTTCACCACCCCACTGGTGCCTCAGTCACAGACTGTAAGCAACCAGATGAATTGGTCACTTCCTCTTCTCCCACAGAGTCTCCTTCCCACCCTGACCCAGCAGTAATAGGAGGTGCTGTTGTGCAGAGAGAATGTCAGCAGAGCTCTGCAGGAGGGA